TAGCTCTCTACTTCTTTCAGACTTTTATTCCAACCCACACCTTCTGTGGCCCTCTGTCCCGTCAGGACCCTGGTGCACGCATACAGCAGTGGGGGGATGAAAGGATGAAAAAGGATGAAAGGAAAATAGAATTACAGCTGTGCAGGTAGAAGATGGAAGCATGGACATGACCCGAAGTGATACTTTGCCTTCACCCGTCTGTTCTCTGAGCCTGGGTGAGCTCAGGCCTCCTAATTTTGTTGGTAATGGATTCCCATATTGGCTTGTAGGGCTTCCTGGTTAGGAGGCTTCTCTTACAAAGTCTCTGGACCACCAACAATTACTTGATTTTAATGCATTACATGTATTATTCATTTTCATATTCATGTTATTGATTTTCCCTGTTATATAAACAAAGAGCTGAATTGAATAACTGGCACCTTTAAGAAGAGAGAAGACACTCAGGCTCAAGACGAGCTCATTAGAGCCACTGGGTTTTTTCCCACCAAGCCAATTCCGACTGGAGGTGAAAGCATCAGTGCGTCAGTTCGGTCCATGTCCCCGCAGCGGGCTTTTGCCTCAATTACACATTGTGCTGATGGACGCCTTGTCCGGCTGTAGCTGCAACAGACGACTTTATGTACGTCAGCCGCGTACCTGTCTTGTGCTGGGAATATAGAAACACTGGTAGCCCCCAGCATGCATTGCATCATGCTGCTTGATGCATGATGCATGATGCCGGTAGAAAGGGACGCAACAGCTGATTTACTCAGTCAGTTATTTTCCTCACATCCGTACACCTCTTTGCAAGGAACTGCTAATATTCTTCTTCCATGCTGAGGGGAAGTGGTTGAGTCAGAAAAAAAGAGTTACAGGAGACTGAAGTCTAAGATCAGTGGTAGAGGAGAAGTTGACTTATCTGTCACGGAACTGAGCAGTTTGTTCCACAAACGTATCCAAGTATACAATAGGTACCAACCGCTGTACGCATTTATGTAGCCTCAGTCCTGCGGCTGTGTAAAGGCCCTTCTGCTGGATCAACCATGAAATGATCACATTTAGTCTGCATGTGATGTCTTTTTTCCATCTCTAGGCTGAAGAACACTGCCACACTATCAATTTCAATAACCTTTATTGAACGTTAATGAAGGCAATGGTCAGGCCATGGCTTATTTAAGGGACTAAGTCACAGAGGACAGAATTATGAAAATGTATCACAGTCAAAGTCTATTAACTCTCAACCTTCCTTGTTATGCAGCTAAGACAGCGGACGTAGGACTGTCTGTAAAACGGGGGGTCACTTCAACAATCCTTCACCGGACTTATTCTTTATGCTTGTTTGACTGATTTGTACACAATTTTATTATTTCACCCTGGTAGCCAGTTTGTGACACTTTCCCACTCATGGGGACATTTACCCGTGCGATATAGAGACAGAGGGTAGAAGACTGAATGGTCAGGGTGAGGGAGAGAAGGGGGACACAAAGGAGAGGGAGTAATAACATAGAGGAAAAAGGGAGAGAGATAAAAGGAGGAGAGGAGACAAGGAGACGGAGACACACAGAGAGCTTTTAGGTTTTAGTGTGGGAGGGAGTGAAAGCCAGGGGAGAACCGGAAAACCCTACGAGTGACAAGCGAATGAACTTATGATGCGCAAAGGAGCGACAATTGTTACAGAGAATGAAGCAAAGCAGATGGACTGTTTCTATGAATTCCCTTGCTCCCATCCTCCCACTCTTCATACATATGAAATACACATCAGATCAAAGATCACTTTCTTCAGGAATTTGGGATGTTGCAAAAATGTCTCTTAACCATAACGTGGGAAATTTACACAAGGAAAGTCGTTTGTCGTAGTCATTTTACAGCGAAGGAGTTTGATACACTATGCTGAGGTTGACAATTAAATGAGTTGTACTATATAAAAAAAGGCTCAAAACAAGTACGCCTGTTATGTGAACTAAACAACCCAGGGTTGTAGCGCCGCGTGACCTAAGAGTCCTGTTTCCTTGGTCTGATAATGACGCAGTGATGAGTTGGAGTCAGTTAAACTCATCTGATGCAGAGAGTGGAGAGAGTCTTTAGCATCGGCAACTGGACCTTCAGGGCCACTCACCGAGCGTTGAGCAGAGACAGCATAGTTCACATATTCAGTTCAGTCATATGTGGTTCTGACCATTTGTATCTCGTCTCTTTGGTCATTTTGTTGGTCGCAATAATGTGGCAGGAAAGACGACCATGAATGTCCCAATTGAACCGAACTTGAGTCGAACCCCAGGACACATCAGAATGGAGACACTGAATGGAAGGTAAATGCACACCGATCATAGTAAGTGGCGCTGTGGAGGAGGACTCTCGGGTAACCGCTGAGAATCAAAACGAACAACGGACTGAGACTTTTCTAACAGTGAGACCGCGGCCTGAAGCGACGTCACAGAAACAACCTGAAAAACACGACGCTGAAGGAAACAGATGTCTGCGTCTGACAACCAGCACTTCCTCTCGCTCGAATGGCGGCGTTAGAGAATGAACTGAGGGCAGAGCGCAGTCTGGACCCACGCTCCTTTTCATCTGCATCTCTATGAGCATCCGCAATAAAGAGCACCGGTCTGTGGGGCGGAACTAAGCCGAGACGACTTGGACCAGATTGGGTTGGACTCATGAGCCATGGGACTTTCTGTTGACATACTCACGAGCGAGCGAGCGAGCGGGCGCTTCATGCGCACTTGAGCCCGGTTGAAACAGGAAGGTTGTGGTGATGATGCAGCAACTGGAAAAAGCTCTGGTCAATCGTCGGCACAAAGGCTTTTATTCTTGTGGAAACAACGTTGCTTTTTATTTTTTATTACTTATCAACACCTGGCTGCTTTAGCTGCGAACAGAAGCAATGACCCCCCCCCCCCCCCCCCCCGGTCCCCGCGGGGTTTATATGGTTTATATCGAGGCGGTGATTTGGCAAGTAAACCAGAGAAATCCACACCGACACACCGAGAGCCCACACACAAACCCTTGTGCTGCACAAGTGCAAACAAAGTTGATGATTTAATCACCATACATGCTGAGAACACAAACACGCCCTCAGGGTGCTAATCAATTACTGCAGGAGCGCACAAACACACAGACACACACACACTTATGTACACACACCAGAGCAGAAACACACGGGCGAGGTAAACTCATTTCACTCTGATATTCATTTTCTGGTGTTCACATGTGCACGTGTGTGTGTGTGTGTGTGTGTGTGTGTGTGTGTGTGTGTGAGTAATACAGGAAGCTGCCTGCCTCAGCACAAAGGCGGGTAAACACACCACGCAAGAACACACACACACACACGCAATATACAGTATATGAAGCTTTGCAGACCACTTCGCTTTTACTGATTGTTGAAAATGAACCTTTTAAAGAAACAGCAAAGCAATTTAAATCATCACCTGTCATTGACATACGAAAAAAGGCCATCATCAACCGATAAAATATCTTGTTCATTGTACCCGTATAACCTTTTACCATTTACCATTGCTGCCTTCATGTTCTAAAACAACATATTCCTCACAGGCTTTAACATTCCTGAGTAAGGACACCACTTGCACCTACGCAGTCTGCATAAAGATTTTCAAACATGTCACAAACATGACGTCATCACTCTGTGTCGGTCGCAGAGAGAGTGCTGATGGAGCTGTCATTAGGATAATGCAGAGGTCCATCATAATGATCTGCTAATTGACTGCCTAACGAGGTAGCGCTCGTTAGGATGATCATTAATGCGCCATCATCACCACTCTGTAATCTGTAATCACAGAGTGGTGGTTTCAAGGTCTTACAGGAGGATGTGTGAGAGTACGTGTGGATTCTGTCTGCTTCGGTGTGTGTGTGTGTTTCTATCATTGTCTATTCTTTCTTCAAGCAGTAATATGTTGTAATGTATCACAGAACCTGTTGCATTTTGCATATATGGCTGCCTTACAAAATAGCCGGGTTTTTTTGCATCTAGATTGATGGAAAGGCGGCTAGATGGACATCTGCCACTATGCTAAAGTGTGGTAATGTGAGGTGATGCAACTGCCTGAGAAGAAGACACAAGAAACCCAACTTGTGTGTCCTATCACAGAGCTACCATTAATTAATTACCAGTCAAAGGTTTGGACATGCCTTCTCATTGAATTTAGTGAATGACCAAATGTGTCAAAACTTTTGACTGGCACTGTATCTCCACCCTGGCCTGGGAACGCTTTGGAATGCTTCAGTCTGAGCTGATTAAGCGGTTGAATAAGCGGTTGAAGATGAGATGACACCTCCCCCAACTTTGGATATAACACGGTTGCTATTTGAAAAGAAAAAATTCTAAAAATAAAGCATCTCCAAGCATCCTGTTTGGTAATATGGTTGAATTTTTTGGGCCGCAACGAAATATCAGATAAACTGATTTTATTTTATTTGTGTAAAATTTGTGATTTTGTGCTAACATTGATGTCTATGCTTGTATTTGAGAAGCCAGGTGTTTAAAAGTACACTTTACATAAAATACTTTATATTATTAAACAATTCATTAAATTGCTTGTATAATCAATCTGGGTCCTGAAGATCTGGAAATTGTCTCCACTAGATATTCCACTCACTCAAAGAGGAAAGTAAGCATTTCATATGATTTTCATGAGCTTTATTCATACATTTTTTTAAATGTCATCCCTCTCATGATACAGCTGAGTTGGTCATCGCTCCTTCAAGCATTGCTTTATAAGCCCAATTCAAGGGGCTCCAACCAGCTACCCTGATGAACACCTACTTAAACGCAGCCATCTGCACTGGTTTATTTGGGGGAGTAGACCTACCATTCACCCTCAAGCCTGTGAGCAGCAATGAGAACTATGTTTTGCTGTTATATTTCCACTTTCTCCACAAACCTACTCTTCTCTTATGCGTATGCAAGGCAGATTTCAGCGTGTGCATTCCCCCCAGCCTAGACTGATATGTCTCAGTATGCTGTCGTCTGTTTTATAACAGTATTGTGGCTTGTGTTGCAGGTATGCCCCTCAGTCTAGACTGCAAGGCGTTCTTTGGCTACAGTGGAGAAAACAGAAGGCCCATTATCTACTGGATGAAAGGAGAAAAGTTTGTGGAAGAACTTGCGGGACACATTAAAGAAAGTGAAGTCAGGTAAATACATCAAATTCAGACTGAACATGATTCCCCAGCCCCATATGGTGGGTATGCCGAATGAGAAACACATCCAAGCAGGTGCAAATTGAAACTAAACCAAAGTTAAATAAATAGACATAATTATACATAATACTGTCGGACACAGTACGCAGTATACTATCGATTATAGCCTCTCAAGTTTACAGGTTGCAATCGTTAATTCATTTCTGGCAAAAAAAAGACTTGACTCCAGCTGCATTCCATAAACTCAGTATCTTATTTGCTGTCTTATGATTTATAACTGACGGATTTCTTCTCAAATTCCCTAAAAAAAATAATGAATACTAATAATATAGTATAATTGAATTCATTCTCTCCCAATTACAGTAGACTCCATTGAGAAATACCTGATTGTCTGTAGGGTGTCAAATGAAATTCAAAAAACCTGCCACATCACCATGGAAACCAACAGAACACCTACATGCACACAGACACACGCCTACACACGTGTGATGTTCGTTATACCTTAAACCACATCACTCATTGCTGTTTTTTTAGTTACACATCAGGGCAATAGTCTTGAGGACAATTCGTCTGTGATTAACTCATATTTTGATCATTGTAAATGATTACACTGAATTGTTTCAATTTCATTGTGCTGTATGAATGTGTTTGGGTCAGAGTTTGTTTTCTTCATGCAACACAGTTCTGTCTCTTTTCCTTTAGAAGGAACGATTCCCAACGTCACGATGGGCCGTGTATATGAGTGTGCCATGCTCGGGTCACATGCTTTTTCTTAAACATTCCCAACATTTTGTTCTAAGCAGAGAGAAGTAGAAAGGCTGAAGAAGTATTCAATCTTAGTACGGATGACAAGACATCAATGTCTACATCTCTGGAAAGAAAACGAAGGCTCTTCCGGTACACGGAAACAACCAAGTGACCTCAAACAGCGTTGGTGCTAGTGGATGCTGTAACAGCTTTGCCTCCGTAGGACTGTGTGAGTGCTCTACAGATGAGATGAGACGCGCAGGATTAAAGCACAATAACGTGGGAAGGCTTTATAACTCTACCTTTTGATACCAGTCTGGTGCAGTATTGCAGAATCCCTGAATTAAATATTTCATTCGTGCAGCAACTTAGCCCCTCCTGTTTCAATATCAGCAAGCTTTTATGTTGCATTGCGGCACTTCATGGAAAACTGATTCATCAAAAACTAGATTTCATTATCGCAGGCTGTCAGCTTGTATTGGATGTTTTTGTCACAAACATTCTGTAGCTCGGCTGTTGGACTTGCTCTACTCTTACAACCAAACTGAGACAGAGCTGTGGATTTATGAACACATGAGCACACCCTTTAAAATAACGTTTCCAGTGGTTAAACTACACCTTTCTAACATGTTTCTCATTTAATGGAATGAGTAACACAATGGTATGAGAAACTGTCATGCAGAGCTGATTCATGTATAATTTACTGTGAATGGACATTCTGTCATTTGCAAGATTCAGCTAAATCTCTCAACACAGATTCAGTTAGTTATATTAAAAGGCCTTTCTATGGAGAACACCTTTATTTATTTAACAGGAGATAGTGGCTACATGGTACAGTGGGGAACAGCCTGTTTGGGTTTGCCCATTTACTGTTTCAATAGTAGCCTGGAAAGAGTCCCGCATGGATAAGTGCACCATCTACAATGGATTCACAGCTTTTCCTCTTCCAGCGGCGTTGGTCCACCTGACCAACCACCTTTTGAGCAATGCCACTTAACAAGTTCTCCTACGACACAGCAGCCTGGAAAAGAAATTGTGATATAGAATGGAAAAGACACAATCGTAATTCTGTTCACTACTAACCTCACGCTGGAAGAATTTAATAAACGTATTACTATTAGAAAAAGGTTTTTGTAGACAAAATGTTCTCTCCCATCAACTCTGACCAACAATATTAATATGAACGTTTATCCTCCCTAAAGGGAAATCCTTCCCTCTTCCACCGGCTGCCTCCACAGGGAGGTCATAGGTCAGGGTCAGCTAACCATTAGCAGCCCGGCAACCAGGTGGACTTGGGTGCCTTGTTCCATGTCCACTTCAGCAGGAACTGTGCTTGCTGACCTGCTGGGGCTTGTACCCAGCTTCTCCATTCAGAGGATGGTCTATGCAACTGCTCTGCCAACTCAGTGGCCTCTGTAAATGTTCTCTCCCAGAGGAAAATAGAGTAGTGTAGATGAGTGTTTGAACTTGAAACTAATCATGCCCCATGGTATTAAATTAACCTTTGCCTGATGAGTTCTCCATCTATCAGTCCAGTCCTCCGCCAGTCGTAAGCCAATCACATCGCTGCTCCAAATTCAGCAAACGTGCCGCTACTGATGCACACTGTCCACTTCTGCTGTCCACCTCCCATCTTGCGTTAGCGCCGGCCATGTGACTGTTGCGTGTGTGTGTCCCTGTCTGGTTGCGTAGGCTCTAGTATGGTCTCGTGGACTCCGTCACAATGTGAGCACCTGTAATTACCAATTATTATTACCCTGCGGTGAGTGAGAGAACTGTCGACACTCTCTGCTCATTATTACTACATCACCTAAAGAGCACGGCCACCTGTGAAGATACGTGGCTGGCGGGAAGTGTCCGACTTTCTTCCCCACCTGCATCTGTCTCTCTGTCGTTATGAATTCAAGAGGTTTTATTTATTATTTTCAAAATATGCGCAGGCACACAACCAACATCATGAATCTTAGCAGTATTGTCAGTTTCACTGCAGTGGTTGGCAGAACTTCAATGCTATCCAGCTCAACATTTCTGCAACTCAGCTATGAAGGTTCAAGGTTCAATCATGTGCAATGAATTTGTAATTGCAGTATTTCCATTTGGGCCGATGCTTCCTTCACATTTTCACTTGAAAGCAGTGCTGGCTTATATATCTAGTTTTGCGGAGAACTTTCCTTTCCTGCTAGAAATTCATATGAACTGTGCAAACCAACAGTTGTCAGAGGTTCTTATGCACAGCTCATCTGCAATATTGTAGATTATTGTTAACTAATGTTTAAATGACCTGTATTAGTTTTCCATGGAGCTGGAGGTGTGAGGTTGTTTTATCTAACAAGGGTTGCTTCAGATACAGTTTGTTGTTAGCAAGTACAATGGTTGGCCAACAACAACGCGCCCCTCTGTTTCCTCTAGTTGCATAAGGTTCAAAAGGAAGAACACCCATAACTGCGCTAAGAATTGCAAAATTAGCCCCTTTCTATGCAAATAAGTATGACATTTATACTTTGCACAAAGACAATTGCAATCATCTGTAAAATTCTAATTAGATTCAGCTGCAAAACCTTTTGCTTTCACTACAATATCAGCACAATATTTTGCGCAATTAACGCCATTGGCATCTAAAATCCGGTCTACAGATGTGACGAGGACAGAGTGGATCTGTTAATAGTGATGGACATGGTTTGCATAGTTAGAAGGAGACCTTTCGGACCAATGATCATCATATCAGATCTGCCAGATTTGCCACCTTGGGACAAAGGTGGTCCACAAAAGGTGAACCCAATGGCTGAGCACAGTGATACTGACGTAGAACCAGGCAGAAGAAGTGTCATTTACCTCAAATGTATCAAGGTAGCCAGTAATCTTGAGGAGGATGTGAATACTGAGCTTGAGGTGAGGGTGTTTATCTTTTTGAAAAATATTGCGTGTGATCACATTGCACATTGCTGGAGCATGAAAAGGGGCGAGATCTCACTCTTAAAAGTAGGTCTGAACAGTTAGGGGGGAAAAAAGGGATGTGTTTCTAAAAGAGGATTTTAGCACATCGCTGCCTTTGATCGTGACCTCTAATCCTCTGTCCTGGTAGACATGATAGTGATGCTCTAACCCGCTGCCACAGAGAGAAATAGAGCCGTACAGTGGGGATCCCAATCATTTGATGTATTTATTCAGCCACCTTTGACATTTTTCATCTCAGAATTCCTCCTGTAATGTTGACTATGTCAGAATTAATACTGTATTCAGATTTCACAATTGTTAAGCTGCTTCTCTGTTTCTCAGAGAAACGCATACATATTGAAAGTGTCAGGAGTTCAATTCCCACAGAGGCCACATGCTAAAAGGTTGTGTGTCAAAACTTGCAAGCACTTGGATAAAAGCCTCAAGTGAGAGATATGATTACTTTTCCTGCAGAGTTTCAGAGCAGTGGAACTACTTAACTTTGCCTAATCTCTGTTGGCCACGGTGTGACTTTGCCCACTCCCTTGTGGGCTGACCTGCCCTGCAAGGCATACATACAAATATATATATATATATATATATATATATATATATATATATATATATATATATATATATATATGTCCTGTGTTTGTTCGACTAACGCACCGTCCCTCCCTCCCTAAGAGGGATTCTTACTGTTAAACTGCATCCGTGGCTCCGAGCGTCTGATAGCCATGTGGATGTTTCTACTACGATCACAGAGTTCATGTGAGCCAGCTGGATACTTCTATCAAACAAAAACCGGGTCCAACTAATGAGTTGAACGTTGCTTGCACACTGTTGAGTAAACCGGAGATTTTCTCTCCGAGGTCATCGCACACAGCATCCACCTTGACATTCTCTCACTTGTTAAGTAATTAAAAGCGAAATAATTCTCCAGGAGCACTGCGTCATTCTGCAGCTGTATGGAATGAGAGTGTAATGCCACTAGAACATGTGCACTGACTAAATGTCAGCACAGTCGGCACTCTGATATCACGAGTTACGGGAAAATCGGACCGTGAGTCAGATTCAAAGGTGCACGCCATGACCCATCTGAGTCTCCCATGTACCGCAGCTCAACTCCTCCTCGCAGGCTTTTAGTATAACCTCACCATAAGGCCAGGCTTCTTTCCAGCTGCCGCCGACGTTTTCCACACATGGCTCCTTGCTCCTCGCTGTCCTCCTTTTTCATCTGCTCTGTGCTCCGCACGCTCGTCTCCTCTTCTCCGCTAAACGTTTTCTCCCTTTGCAGCATTTTGTGGAGCAATGCAGGAGGCAAGACCCTCCATCTGTTCCTGAGATGTGTGCATGTTCGTGTGCACCTCCCCTTGTTCCCCCTCTCCCTCTTGTGCCTCTCTTATTTCTTCCTTGAAGATTATTTCCTTTTAAGTAATCCAATATTCACTTTCAGCGGATCCATCCAATGTTTCGTGCAGGTTTATGTTCTTTGTCTATTCCTCCAAAAGCGTGTAAAGGAGTACGTTTGTGGAAAAGTCCTGCCGTCTCTCACTGTCATCTTGTCCTGTTTGTCCAGGATTCTGAGGGAGTATTTAGGGGAGAAGGAGGTGCAGCTGTCCTTAACGTTTGATGCTGTGGACGAAGCAGACCTGGCCAACTACACCTGTTACGTGGAGAACCACATCGGGAGGCGTAGCGGGAGCGCTATACTGCAGAAGAAAGGTAGACTACAATCTCCTTACCTTTCCTTCCCGTCCTCTGCTTTAAAAGAGACGCTCATCGGATGAGGAGAAACGTGAGTGACAGATAAAACGCATGGCAGGACGATTCAAGTAAATAGCTCATTAAAAAAGCTGCAGCATATGGTCTTTTGTCTTTAATTTTCAAAACAGCATTATATCAGAGCTGCCAACTTTTCAAAAAACCTTGGAGTGAGATTTTGTCGGGGGTGACCAAAATTTTGCCGCGCACGCAGCCACACACGTTGGTGGCTCAAATATCAGGAAATTGGAATTCATTTGGCGTAGTACCCATGTTGTACGCTGCATTCTGGTGGTTTGTGGGGCCCAAAGTCGTTGATACGGGCGGCCTACTGGAGATGGACAACATTGGTTACATTCTGTGAAGCAAAGACATAGCTGATGGTCCACCCCCAGGACATTTTGGTTTAAGTAGATGTTATTTCATGCATTCTCGTGGATTTTTGGGTGGTATGCCTGAACTTATTCTGATTTATGTTCATCTGCTCATGACTTGTTGGGCCTTCTAGACTTGAGCTGAACATTCAACCAGAAAACTATTGCTGTGCCTCAATGACTGTCTATGTACCACAATATAGCCTAATTAATAGACCTGTGTTTAAGATTTGACCAATTTAGGTTGATTGACATTTTGATTACAATGGTATTCAACTAATTCTTAACTGAAACCTAACCTATATTGTTAATAATTGTATTCTTAAGAGCACTTAATGATTTATGTTCAGCAAAAAATGACACAAGTTTAGTTAGGGAAAAATATTTTTCATTATCAAACAAAAAAGTGCAACAAATAAAGTGCTTAAAGTGCTTAAACAGTAGCCTTTCAAAGCAAAACAATGGATACACATAATAAAATAAAAAGATAAATGCTATGTGAGCAGCCTTAATAAACAATGCTATGATGTTTTGAGCATGCAGTATACCAAGAGGTTAACAAGGTGCTCTCCTGCTGCTTGTTATGACAGTTTACATTCACCACTCAAAATCACACGCACAAACACAACTAATCAGTTCTTTCAAGATTTAAAGTTTAAGAGAGTGAGTACTTAATTGAACCACATGTCATTAACGTACCTTAGTCTTTGCTCCTCCTGAGTTTCTCCCGCGGTTGTGTCTGTTTGAAAATCTTCTTCTGTTGCTGACTTCGGGACTCTTTGGGGTAAATAGGATGTCTATGCAGCGAATAGGTTTACAGATGCGCTCCTTAGCGCCATCTATTGTCGGGGAGTTTGAAAAGGAACGAACGCGCTTCGGCCCAAAATCAGATTTTTTTTTTTGCCGTGAGAAATTGGTTGTGTGGCGTGAGTGCGTGTGAAAACATGCAAAAGCGTGTGTCACACGGCGAAACCGTGAGAGTTGGTAGGCCTGATTATATTACCCCAAAAAAGTATTTATATAGAACAATTTACAAAGATGGGTTCAACAAGGAAGCACGGGCGATTAGACAGGGCGAAGCCCCGCGTCGTCCCGGAGCAGTCTGATGTGAACAACCATGAACCGACACTTTAGAGGACAGCAGGTCACTCTTGTGATACAGTTTGACAGCATGTTAACCTTGTAATTACATTAATTACCCAAAGCGAATTCAAAATGAAGAACCAAGTTATTTGGCGGGAGTTACCTGCCAAACTTTGTAAGTAGAAAAAGTCACTGGTGATGAAGTCTGATCATTTGTTCTGTACATTAATAATTCACGTGAGGAGTAAATAATAAGGAGTGACAGAGAAACAGCTTCATTTTCTTTCTTTCTGAAACTTTGACCAATGTATTGAGGCCTGTACATGAAGCAAATATGAAAAGGAACGGGGGGAATCTAAAGTTCACCATCCTGCACATTGTAAAAGTCCCTCCACCCATACTGACTACTGGGAGAAATATCACATCAATATTTCTGTTTGTATGCATGAATCCGGATGTAAGTTGAGCTTTGGAGATATAGATTTATTTTTGGACATAAATTGGATCTTGGCTGTATGTTTGCTCCAGCTTCCCGTCTGCTGGACTACGCGTATCCCCTCTTGGCACCAAGATATGAGTGCTTTCAATGTTTTCATCTATCGCTTGCCAAGAGAGCAAATAAGCAAAGTTCCCAAAATGTAAAATGATTCCTCTAATCAGGTTAAACATGCAGGAATCGTTCTTAATATTCATACTGTAAAATACATCGTAAACAAGTTCTGCATTCAAAGCTTCCACAGAGTCATTACTCCTTTAGCCATGACATGCTAAATATTAAACTGTTGCTCAAATTACCGGGAACATTATCCATTACTTTTTATGATCATGTAAACAAGGACCCCCCCCCCCTTCCAGGAACTGAAGCCTCAACAGTTTTCACACATCAGAGTGTGTTTTAACATGAAATGTGCATGATGGATGAAAGCCGTCTCTTTGAATATTTACTCCAAACCTTTGGGAAGCTGTTCTTAAAGAACCCAGTGGGAACTCTCACATTGACCAATAGCAAATGAAATAGCAAAAAGAGGATCTGAGAGCACCGGGCACGCTGCTGGAGTCTCGTTGACCTTCTTTCACTGAAAAAAAAAGGGTAGTGAAAACACCACCACAGCAAACAGCTGAGCAACACAGACGGAGACAAACGAAAAGAACAGGATCTCGCAGTCGCATCTTTAAATATTCCACTGAAAAATGCATGAGGGCACAGCTCCCTTTGTAAAACATTTTGCAGCAGTCCAGCAGTATCTCGCTTTTCCATCTGATGAGCAGAGAGAAGCGTGGTCGTTGGAATCGGAGGCCGAGACCCGGAGAAAGAGAGAGAAACCTGGAGAGACAAAGGGGAACAGCGCCAGAGGAGGAGACAAATTGTTTCTGTTCCTTTGAATTTGGGGCGAAAAAAAAAAGGGCCTCGTGAATGTCCTCCACATGAAATAAATGTAGGTGATGCTAAAGAGCAGCGACAGGGCAAATGTGGGCGGGTGGAAAGAGGCAAACAGCCACTGAAACGGTGGGAGACGGACCGAGGCGAGGAAATGGAGAACAAGGGAGAAACAATAGATGCAGACAGAGAGATGGAGACTGGGAGGCTGACGGATGTGCGAGAATATTTAGACGCCAAGTAAGAAAAAGTACAATAAAGAGGAGGGAGCAGGACTAAATACACTGCTGCTCAATGCCGCGGGCGTCAGATCCATCTTACTTAACCAGCACCGAGGGACTCCTACACAGACACACACAAGCATGGGACACACAGACACACACCTGCCCGGTGGGTCAGGATGGGAAGTGTGGGGTTGTCGTTACTTCTCATAGTAGTTACCTGGATGATCACAAAGTGTGTGTGATCACTCACTATACACACACACACACACTCGCCTTACAAGTGCAACGTTTAACAGCACGGCTCCTGTGTTTGAGTGCACTTTATGTGCACACAGTGTGCACACAGTGTGCACATCTGCACATGATCAAAGCGTCCTTGTCAGCTACAGCCGCCACTTTCTGTGTGTAGCTGCTCCGTCAGCTTGAAATGAGACAAATCCTTATATGATATCTCATTACTATTCCTGTTTTCAAGTCCAGCGACACAAGACAATCGCTGCTCGTAACAGGCACACCGTCTTTCAAGTGACGGGAGAGAAGTCAGATAGTGCTCCTTCTTCTCACTCGATTTCTGACCTCCGTAAACACTATGAACATGAGTTCATGTTTGTTGTAGAATATTTTAATAAACTAGTTCGGGAGAAGAGAATGATTTCTTTTAAGGTTTATCTAATAAAAAACGGAGTCTTGATGAATGATCAAAGTTGCAAAAGTCTGTTTATTACTTGCAAGCAGGAGGTGGAATACACCAGCGCGTGTTGCGCGGCGCTCTGGGCGATGGCGTCTCCCAGCAGTCAAAACGCTGAGCTTTTATACACACACGTGAAGGTCATCCCCAGTGGCAGGTGGCGTTGAATCCTAACTCCTAGGCCACATGGGAGATGTGCGGACCAAGTTGAGATGAGAAGCAAGGTTAAGATGCGGTGACAGACAGTTCCTTTGTCGGAGCGTTCGCGTGAGGGCAAGTTGACCTCCTTCAGACGCTGCTGCAAATGGAAACCTTGAATCATTCTGCTTTTCGCACATTACTTCAAGACATATAATTATCACTCTTTTAGCATTAAACTATGTTATAACATATTTGACCATCACATGTTCAGAAAATGACGGCTAGATTCATAATCAGCATTGGGCAGGGTGTGCGCTAACTCACCAGTTATTTATGGCATACGTCACTGTACAGCTTTCCTTTTCCTTCCACAAGTGAACGTTTTCAGCTCTTTGATGGTTTTTAAAATGTCTTTTTCCTTTCAATTTAAGGAAATAAGAAAAATATAAAAATGTAAAAGCACCGTTTTTCAGTTATTCTGAACAATATTTAGGCAACTTGAGAAGTATTTTTTACTAATCATAACACTTTTTGAGGGCCAGCTGAAGAGGATTTACAAAGAATTACGCTGGCATTGCTTGTGAAGAAGTTCAGTATTTCAGGGATATTTTTTTATAAAATATTTATTTATTTATTGCCTTTTACTGCAAATTTACTGGTATTGATGTGGTGTTTTTTTAAGCAGGTCTTCATCACAATTAGCATATGGAGAAAATATGGAAAAATTTATCCTAAAATCAGAGCAGTGGTTGATTGTAGGCTGTGTAGTCTTTCCAAATAGTGTGGCTAGTTCCAGTTAGTGTGCGTTGACACAGCTTCCATTTTTCCAGGAATATCTCTACAGAAGTCTAGTTTTTAATTCCTAAAATGTATTTCAAGTAGGAGATAATTAAATGAATTAAATTGAATTGAAAATGAATGGGTAAAGCATATCCTCCAAAACAAGATTCCTTTTCTTTGAGTGAATAAGATGCTTAATAAATAAATAAATAAATAATACGCCTGCTGAGGGCTCCGGCAGGAATGCATATTGTCCGTCCACAAAGCGAACCACATAGTTTACTCTGAAATCGAAAACCCATGAAACACAAGGGAATGCGTCATTAGCCTTGTAGCCCCCCCCCCCCATCCTTTTCCCTGAGCGCTCAACACATCTGCAAACATCAACATTTAGCATCCAAAAAACACACATTTGAATGTACATGGTTGAATAGTACTGTACAGAAGTGACATTCAGAATGCATTTACCATTCCACGGGTCAGTCTCATGAAAAGGGCAGATTCACTTCCTGTTTCCCTTTTCACACTGCGCTAGCTGTCCCGGGAGTACAGTGCCTACCCAGCGGAGGATCAGGGTCTGCAGATGCCAGTGGACGCTGAGCTGCTTGGATCTGCGTGGACGTGGAGGGTTGACTTCCCTTACCGAGTGTTATCCGAGTCCTGCGGGGCTGCGATGGCGGTTGATGTGGAAGGAATTAGGCTCCGTGTTTCCCAGGTGTTGGAGTCGAGCCTTGATGGTGTTCATGGAGCTGCCCAGTGCCTGCAGGGGGGAGATGACAGTGCTGTCTGTCCTCAATGGGCCTGGAGTAGCTGGTGGAGAACACATACAGGGTGGAGCGTTCTTCCTCTCCGCCTGCAGAGTTTGTGCTGGTTGCCCTTTTCGCCCTTTTCCGCCCTGATGCGGGTGGCGGGGAGGGATCACCTCGCTCTCTGCTCACATCTGGAGCACACCTTGGTGATGAGACCACGCCGCGCTCAACCCGTGGCGCCCCAGGGTCACCAGATTTGTTACAAAACGATATTATATGAATGCTTCACACTGTTTAAAATTAGATTCTGGTGCTACAATATGCACCAACCTGTTTGAAACTTTCTCTCTATTACTCCATCAAGTTAAAAAATAAGATGTGCAAAATTAGTTGAGAAGGTTTATGAAGCCTCCGGCCATCTTGCATGTTTCACACAGCTTTGTGTTGCTTTCGAATGGCGTTAGAAGGTGGGTACATGGGTCATATTTTACAGGCAGACATCATTCCTGAGCATAATTTACGCTCTACCCATTTTGGCTTCTGAGTGGCTATCACCTACATGTGGTCACAGCATGGTATCTAGATGTTTTATAGCTCTTAGTGATTTTATTTGATGCAAATCTGAAAAATCTTCTTTCTCTCAAGAAATCGGGTTCCCCTTTATCCCAACAGAAAAAACCTGTCCAGATAGAACAAGTATCAGGCCAAAACAGCCTCAGGGGGCAACGGCCAGAATGGCTTCTTCTGCTGCGCCCGTAAGGCGAGTGACCCGACGCCGGCTGCTCGGTGGATCCTGGTCGGCTCCAGTTGTTGATCTGCTTTCTCCAAAGTCCATCAACGCTCTGCTATGCTGTCAGAAAAGCAAAGCTTCTGGTCAAATCCTACTTGGAAGCCCACAAAAAGGCTCAGACGGTCACAATGTTACATCTCTGCTGGGGAGCAGCAATAAAAGATATGGGCCAAGTTTTAAGAACTTTAGAAATACTGAATGTACATAAACTAACTACATGACCGTTAACCTTTGAAATGAACTGAAGAAAACCGCTTGGTTGTGCAAAGTCATTCATGACGTCCGCCTCCAACGGCCTGTGGGCTGCTGCTTTAAAAGTTCACAAGCCAGCCGACTGTTACGGTGGCTCCCGGCCCGCGGCCTCTGAAGCTAACGGGGTCACATTTGCGTGCATGAACACGACGCGACAGCCTTAATGAAGCACAAGCTACCGTAAGTTAGCCCGAGTTATCAAAGCTTGATTTCCTGCGCCGCGTGTGTGATTGGATTAGGGTGTGCTCTCACCCCGCAGTGGCCCGATGATAACGCATTGATGCATCCGAGTGGCGCGCATTCACACGCACGCACCTGTAACACACACGCATCCACTTATTGTGACTGACCGAGCAGAAAGAGCTGGCTTCAGCCACCATGACGAGAGACTTACTAGGTGAAAATAAATGGAGGGAGGGAGGCCGGCTGGAGGAGCCGACGGGAGAAGAGAGATGGAGAGAAAATAACAGACAAGCGCACGAGAGATTCGCCGATGCCATTCAGACGTTTCTTCGGCAAAACATAGAAATTGTGCAGTGTAGTGAGGACTGACAAGACTGAAGAGACGAGGAAAAGAAAACCAGCCCCAAACTGACCTTTGACCCTTTTTAAAAAGCAAATAAACACAAGTGCCCCCAAGGATTCATCAAATGCAAACTTTTTTGGTGGTGCTGCCTTTGTGGTCGATTTGACCTGCGGTCCAGCTGAGGCTGTGCTGAGGATGTGTCACACCTGTCGGGGCTAAAAAGATGATGTTGGGGGTATAATTTAGGAAAGTTTCAAATGTTCCCAGTATTGGTTCACTTCTAGCAGCTTAAAAGAAGCCGCATTTAAAGGCCGCTCAGCCTTCCAGGGTTCTAATGAATGATGAGACAGATGGTGCGACGGGAGACAAACCTTTAAGCTATTTTTATTTCACTGTCAAAAATTGCTTTTGCAACAGATGCTGAATGCACTTCTAATGAAGCCATGATCACTTGACGCTTTGCCAGTATTGTCTTTGTTACGCCCACGCCAATAATGAATATTGGATCTGATGCAAAATTGCGAGTCGCTGCCGTGGAATTCAATAAAGGTGGTGTCTGCAGGGAGAAAGGTTATGTAAAAAATGTCATTTCACTTTCCCTCAGCATCTTCCTCCGCACACATGCACATAGGCGACCATTACCGTTGACTTCTCCTTTCATGCCTAATAAGTTAAAAGCATAATTAAAACTCCGCATTCAAATTCCGCTCCCATTTTCTCGTGAACTGATATCGGGAGACGGCGGGGGGGGCTTTTCTTTTTTGGTTTATTATTACGGAAAAATTCTTGAGAAGAAGAATTTAATTCAGGGTCGGGGCCCGGGGGGCCCAAATTATAGGGGGGGGGGGGGGGGGTCGGTAAATGTATCTCATTACTAAAGGAAGCATTCTGACTTCACTGCAGGACAAATACTTGGTTATCAAGTTGGATTCCTCATCGCCTCTCCCCGTCCCTCACTCCCTTCCCATCCAACCCCTCTTCAGTGGCTCCGTTTACAGCTCACAGCAGAGTAGAGTTGGGGAGACGTCTACTGGTGAGATGTAGTAACTTCAGACAGATTACGAGCTGAAAGAAGATTGTGGGAAATCAATTACGAAAAATACGTTCTTAAATCACAACCATAAAATAGGAAAGGAACTGCCCATGTGACCTAGTTATATGTAAAACTTATGAATACATATACATTCGTCAGAATATTTATATAATTATATGTACTGTATATATGTTATATATTATATATATATATATTTATATATGTCAAATTTTACTAAGTTGAAGGTAAAACAAGTTGAGTTGGTATGTGTGTAAATATGTGTGTCTTGTGCCACGTGTGTGTGTGTGTGTGTGAATGAGCGTGTTTGTCAGTGTCAGTGAGACAGTAATAGATCATATTTCCCATGGTGTCGTTCACCAGCCATGTTCCATTAATCTCCTATGCGCTGGTGCTGCCTATCATTCACACACAAACGCACACACACACTATCTGAGACCGCGTGTGTGTGTGTCTGACATGTTGGCGTGAGATTTTCTGCCTCTCTCAGTCAAGGCCACACACTCATCACACACACACACTCTGTGTGCTTTGCAAAGTTATGAGGATTATAAAGGATGACGGGGGCATTGCTGGAACGACCAGTAGCTCATTGTGGCTAATGCTAGCTGACACCAATAAGCTAGATGCAGATCAGCAAGTTACTGTTTCAGATTCTCATCAGCACAAAGTTCAGCAAGTCTTCCTTTAAATCTTGATTTGTAGCACTGCTCGACCAAACGATGACAGGGAAGGGAGGAGAAGGCAATGGAAGCAGAAAAACCGCCAGACTTCACACCAAAAGCGAAGTGAATTTTCCCGACGCTTTACTCGCAGAAGCTCTCTGGGGACTGTGGTCGGGGGTACGGGTGGACTGAGTAGAGGCCAGTAATGGGGGGCTTTGTGGACTAGTGAGATGATCAACCGCTGAGAATTCTGAGAGAGGATGTGGGCGTGTTGAAGGAGTACAAGTTCCTGGGTGTCTCAATCAACAGCAGACTGAACCTGATGGCCAACACCAACGCTATGTACAAGAGGGGGATGACTCAAGTCTTTCTCTTCCAACTTTCATTGTACGCAGCAAGATGTTGGCGGTGTTCCACCGGTGTGTTGAGGCCGGTGCACTGTTCTTCTGACAGCGACAGACCTAATAAACTGATTAAGAAAGTCGGCTCCATTATGGGATTAAAACTGGACTGTGTGGAGAAGGCGTTGGACACAGAAGAAATGTTTTTTTTGTTGTATTTATTGTATTCAATCTTCATTTTAAGCCTACATTTTGGACTTTGTTGTTTACTGCAATGCATATTTATGCTGCTGTAGAAAAATGACTAATAAAATAACTATTCATCATCTATTTATCTCTCTAATTCTAAGTTGCATTGAATATTCTAGTGACCTTTTTTGAATTACAGGGTGTCATTTTGTCCAGAAATGCTGCATTAAACTCAACCTTTAACTCATTCAGCCTCCAACCAAAAATATAACCAAGAATTATATTTGTAAACAAGCAAATGAAAGAAATAATCAATGATAGAAGCTTCCAATTAATAAGATGCGATGTTGGTAGACGTGCCAAAGCATTTGGAACCATCAATTCTCTTTTTTACAAACATATTCTTCCAGTTCCAGTCTTTTTTATAAATTCCAATCTCCGCTCAGGGGATTTCAGACCTCATTTTTTATATATACATCTTGAAGTCACACTACAGATTGAGATTTTTGATGTGAGCTTAACCAGGTTGTAAAAAGCACTGAAGAAAATCTACACCAACAAAGTCTAACATATCGGAGAAAACACGCAATTATTCACTTTTTACCGTCAGCAATGCTTTGGAAGAATAACTGATGAACTGTTTGATCTGATAGATTTCTTCCCCCCTCCTTTTGGTTGTGCGCCTCTCTGACTGCAGATATGTATCGCCTGGAGCTGGCCGGAGGTCTGGGCGTCATATTGCTGCTGCTGGGAATCCTCACAGCCCTTTATAAGTGTTACAACCTGGAGATCATGCTGTGCTACAGGAGACACTTTGGAAGTGATGAAACCGAAGACGGTGAGCTCACTTTTACTGGTAACAAGATGTACTGCACCAGGGAGAGCAGGGACACACACAGATGGACGACACAAGCGGGAGAACAGTGGACAAGGTTTCCTTGTATTACTAGTATTACTGGAATGAGTGTGTGTGTGTGTGTGTGTGTGTGTGTGTGTGTGTGTGTGTGTGTGTGTGTGTGTGTGTGTGTGTGTGTGTGTGTGTGTGTGTGTCTGAGAGAGAGAGAGAGAGAGAGTGCGTGACGAGTGAGAGGAGAATAAAAGATAACACACAAAAAACAATTACACTCAGTCAAGTCTACGCTCAGAAAAAGCAAAGAACAACAAAAGCTCCAAAGTGATGAACATTTACTTTTCACTTTAGTTTTGTTTTTCTGTCTTAAATTGATGGAATAACGTCTATTATAATAACTATTAATTTTGTCCTGTCTGTTTCGAAAGTGAAATTCACAAAACAATGAATCCAAATAAATAATAGCCTTGTGAACAAAACAAAATGGAGGAAAAATAAAAAGAGGTAATTTTGCTGCACTGATTTCAAACCATCTATTTGGGTTTCGTGGGGTCTCGTGGCCCAGAGACGAGTTGTGATTCCTTCGGTTCTCAGTGCAGAAGTAGGATCAGAAGGGATGATGCTTCAGGATGTGGTTACTCACTGATGATCCAAACGTAGTAAACCATAAAAAAATCCATCAATAAAGATTAATCGTTTCGTCATACAAAGGAGATCGAGGTAGAATGAGAAAATATGACCTGAATCCTTCAAAGCGCCTGATAATCCCAAAGATGTCCCCTTGGCCTGTGCCGGTGTCCTCTCACTCACTCTGTCTCTCTTCCCAGATAACAAGGAGTACGACGCCTATCTGTCCTACACCAAAGTGGAGCCGGACTGTTTGGGCAGGTCAGATTCCTCTCTACTAGGGATGTGCATCTCCATCACTGAGGACGATGAGATACACATCTCCATGCACTGCCAACGACCCGATACATTAAAGATACATAAAAGCAGCTACTAATGCGATACGATTCACCCCTATTGCGATGCAGTGCGATGCAGTGCGATTCGACACGATGCGATTCGACGAGATGCGATGCAAAATAATATAATTCTATGCAATTTAATATGCTACATAATGATTCATTTATTTGTCAGACAACACATAATAAACAAGGTCTCTGACAAGATAACATGTGTGTGTGTGTGTGTGTGTGTGTGTGTGTGTGTTCTCTTAATGTAACTTTTTTTTTTTAATTATACCTGGCAGTCTCAACAGAATTTGCTTCATTCTAAACATATGGATCAACTGCCTCCCACACTAAATTTACTAAATCACACTCATTTGTCCGATTTTGAGGTTTTTCTTAAGGAATATGAGTCCACAAACTACCCGTCCGTGTACTTTATGGCAGCACGACATATTTTACAGATGGCATGGGATTTATCAAATTTCCCATCTTTCTTTGGAAATCCAAAGTGTTGCCAAACCTTGGATTTATTTAAGTTTTCGGGACGTTTAACTCTCCATCCGCCATGGTAACGCTCTCCCACGCTCGCTCCTCCAACTCGCGCGAGACTTCACGAGAATCGGCCACTGACAGCAGAGGAGATGAGCGCGCTTAGAAACAGTTAGAGAGGAGTGGTGTTCGCCTACACACGAATCTGTATAAATACATCGTTATATATATTATACCGATGCCAAAATGTTAGAAACGATGCACCACGCTTCATCCCACAAGGTATCCGGTGCACACTTTTTTGATCCGGGCCATCGCATCGTGAGCTTTTACGCCGATGCATCGATGAGAACCGGTGAATCTTCCCATCCCTCTCTACGCATTAATACATGTATCAATGCTGTGTTGTCCAACAACACTGACAAACAACATGGCACAGCATTAAGAAGGACTGGCCCACCGGGAACGTGTGCTTTGAACGTTCAATGATTGCAATGGCGCAGTCATTACAGGGTTAGCGTAGCTTAGCATACAACTGGAAAGCAGAGGGGAAACATTTCTCCTTCTGCGTGGCATCATCACATTATTACACCGACTGCTCATAAAAAGGCATGTGGATGATTTTGAGTAGCCGGGTGATTGTTCCTGCGAAGATATTTTTTTGTACATTTTTTCAAATGTTTTTGCGGCATAAATACTAAAGTGAAAGGGTAGATTTTTTTGTCGTTCCCTCCTCGGCAGGTCGAGCAGCGATGAGGAAACGTTGGCTCTGGAGATCCTGCCGGACGTTTTGGAGAAACATTATGGATTCAAGCTGTTTCTACCAGACAGAGATCTAATACCCAGCAGTAGTGAGTATCCATCTATCTGCCTGTCCGTCTCCCTTCTCCTCCCCTCCTCCATTACAGCCCACGATACCCAGAATCCATCACTCTGTCAGAATAAATAAGAAGGGATGCGGCTCTTCATCATAACACACTTACGAAAAGACACACACGAGCTGAGCTCAGGGTGTAAATCGCATACACTCATCCCACCCCCCCACCCCCATTTCCCCTCCACCCACACACACACACCTCACGGGATGTCACTCAACCTCAGAATGTCCTCTTGCATTCATGCTTTTACTTACCATAACTCTCACATGTCTTTCACGTGTATAGATCTCTATTTCGCACAAATAAGTTCCGGCACAGACTGCATAAGATGTGTGAAAACACTCACACACACACACACACACACCAAAATACACACCGTTTGTCATCATTTCTAGGGTTGTTCATCACTCTCTGTCCAACTGGAGGGGGGAATGACCTTTATTGCTCTATTTGTCAATGCTGTGACCTGACACCCACACACACACACGCAAACGCAAACAAACAAATCCATTATTGCGCACACACACACAAATAATGAAGAACTTTGAGACTCTTTCACAGGGTGTGGTGGCAGTACAGAAACTGAGTTAAAAAAGGCAGATATGCCGTGATAAAGACGTTTGTCTGTATTCCCAGCACACACACACACACACACACTCACACACACACACACACACACATTCATCATGGTTAGACTCGTCTCCGGCCTTGCTAGCTGCAGGGCTGTAATGGTTCATCCGCTTCATGTAGCGCTTTCTCACCCTCTCACATCTAAAATGATTGAAGTCCTCCTGGATGGACATACAAACTGCTTTCCCGGTTATTCACATCTTTGGAGGAATTATTTAAGTTTGATGAATTTTTATTCCGCTTGCTCCCCTTGCGTGCGCTGGAGCAAGATTGGGAGGCAATAAATATGGACTGAAGAAAGATATTTGTCAGATCAAAACATGAAACAATAAAATCTATCTGCTTTTTCAAATTAATTCAAAAGAAGGTGTTTGTAAACTGTTACATGGATGTGTTTATGTATCTTTTTCTCACCTATTGGAACAAATGTCTCTGTTGCGATATTAAATGTATACTTAATTTTCATATTTTTACTAATAGCTCCTTGCAACTCCAATGCGGTGAAGTGTCAACCAGCTTGCATTAAATTCATCATAATAATAGCTCCATTCCGTTGCCTTTGTTCCTGACCACCACTTCATCACATCTTTTTAGCCCAGTAGTTATAAAAAGGAAATACAACCGTAGTTTTTGGAGACAAAAAAGTAGAGCAATGAAATGCAACATCATTTTTGAATTCCACATGTTTGGGTCACAGTATCTCAGGCTCAGAATAGGATGCAGACAAACAGTTGTTCCCTTATAAAGTCAATCATAGATCCTTTCCTCGGGTTTCCAAACCGAGTGATCAGGTATCCAAGATGTTCTGCAATACATTTTGTTGAACAATTTGTGCATTCGTGTTACAAATAGACAACATGTGCTTAGAGAACAATGATTATGAAATGTACCTGCTCGTTAGAAAAACATAAATTCATCAGAGCACATTCAGTAGTCGCCAAGGCCCCCGCGGGTATGAAACTAATGCATGCAAAACAATTTCATAACCTCTACTTCAGCCTGCCCCATCAAATTGAGCTACAAAAAGAATGTAGCAGCTCAAAATAACTATAAAGTATACAAACTAATGTGTATTATTTGCACTATTTAACATTTTCTACTGAAAAGCATAAATATATTTACATAAAAATAGTTTGTAATAAATCCCCCTTTGGCAAAATGATTCCTCCTCCCGACACAAACACACAGAGATGAGAAAGTCACACCTTCTCCAGACACGAGGCTCCCTCCCAGCGCCCTGAAAACATCCCAAAAAACGCAGAGCGCACATAAGCACACACTCTGAGCCGTGTGCAAACTAAAGGTTACGCAGCGTGAAAATGAATGGGTGAACCACACAGAGCCGGGCGCCTTTCAGCGCTCACCAAAGCCATTGACAGAGCAACGTGGCAACGCGACCTGAAACACACATTCAGTTGTTGCCTCCATTAGCCCTGCGAATCAAACAGGGGAGGGGGGGAGAGGTGGGGACGGGGTCATTGGTTTGTGTTATTTCATTAATTGATTTGCATAATCCTCAAAAGTAGGGAGCAGGACGACGGAGCGAGGGGCAGGTGGGGAGCGGGAGGATGGAACAGCAGAGCAGCCGAGAGAAAGAAAGGGACTGAATTTTTGGGATGTCCTATTTGTGCCCCTCAAATTGAGCGTGAAATTGCAATGTGTTGTTGCAAGGTCTCTGTCATTAATTTAGTTAGCAGGCGAAGAGACGGCAGAAGGGGAGAGACGTACAAAGAGAGGCCATCGGTTTCCTCACAGAGCAGTTAAGGTATTTCCGCCAAATGAACATTTTTAAATAACATGGAAATAATGACCGGCGTTACAAAAAACATTGAGAATGTCACAAAGAAATTATTTGAAGCCCCCCCCCCCCCCAGCAAATGCGTGAAGGCTGCTGTTGGTGTATCAGGCCTCCGCTCAGAGCTGATGCCAAAGCTCTTACACCAGCATTCCTGGGACTCCTGTCAATCCCAATGGAAGGAAGGACAGCGCCAGCAGAAAGGACAGATACTGGAACGGAATGGTTCCACTTCACATACTAATCTCATTTTTTCTACCTCTTCCTTTTTTTGAAGACAACACATTTTTAAACTTTTATTATGTTCTTTCTATTTGAGAAACAAACGCTCAGCTTATGGCAATAGCTTCAGCATTTTGAGACACATATTTGTTTGCCTTTCTTTGCAAGTCAGCTGAGCCCAGCTTAGCATAAATGTTGGGAAAGGCAAGGCAAACATATTAGTATAGCACATTTTAACAACAAGGCAATTTGAAGTGCTTCACACAAAACCATATATAAAAAAAAACACATTTTAAATAGAAAAAAAAGAGTACCAAAAATCTGAAATTCTAAACTGGTCAATGAAAGGCAGCAGCAAGCATGCGTTTTTAATGTGGATTTCAAGGAGCTGTGGAACTCAGCAGATCTTCCTGGGTGTTTGTTTCAGATGTGCTCTGCTTCTCCATGTTTAGTTTTGATTGAAAGTAGACCAGACAACCAACAGGGTTGTGGCAGCTCATGAGGTATCAGCTGATGTACTTTGGCCATGAACCATTCATCCATCCATCCATCCATCTTCAAACCACTTATTCCTCAGTCGAACCCAGTACCTTCTCACTGTGAGGCAACAGTGTTGACCACCACACCGCCGTGCCAAACCATTCAGTGCTTTATAAATCAAACAGCAAGATTTTTAAATCACTTCTTTGTTTGAGAGGAAGCCAAGGTAAAGACCTGAGAACTGAGTCATGTGATCGACTTTATTGGTCCTAGAGAGGACTCAAGCTGCAGCGCTCTGGATCAGCTGTAGCTTTCTGACTTTTTACAGAGACATGTAAAAACATTGTTTTCAGTAGTCGAGTCTACTGAAGATAAATGCATGCAAGTTTTTCCATATCTGGTTGAGACATAAGTCCGCTAATCCGTGATATACTCTTTAGGTGATAGTAGGCTGATTTTGTAACTGTCTTGATATGGCTGTTCAGGTTGAGGTCTGAATATATAATTACACCTCGGTTTTTCTGCCTTGGTTTGTAGTTTTTAACATCAGTAATTGAACCTCAGCGCTGACTTAATCGTTCATCTCTGTTACCAAAAAATTCCCTCAGTTTTATCTTTGTTCAATTGAAGAAAATGTTGGCACTGTTCATTGCATTTACTTGTCACCCTTGTATTGGATTGTAGTCCCTCATTTAGGGAGTCACCGTCTCATCCTGGTTGAGGAATACAAGGTCAGAAAGCAGAAAGGGCCAACCGGGCAGACACAGGTCTGATAAGGATGGGAGTTAGAGACACACCAAGCACTCACTATTCAACATTCAACGTTTTGTTCGTAATTTTTTCGTTTATGTCAGGAGGGATGATGGTGGAGGCCTTGAAGCCGGCTGGTACATGGAGACATGCCACGTACCAGCCTGCTTCAAGGCCTCCACTGTCATCCCTGTCCCCAAGAAGCCCAGGATCACAGGACTCAATGACTACAGGCCCGTCGCCCTGACCTCTGTAGTCATGAAGTCTTTTGAACGGCTAGTCCTGACCCACCTGAAGGCCCCT